CTCAGCTTTTTCATAAAACTTAAAGGATTTTCTCCCCTTTCCCTATTGATATTAAACCTGAATGTTTGCATGCTGTATAAGCAGTTGTATTCCATCACATAACTCCTGGTCACTTTACAGAGCAGATGAGAAATTCAAATCTCTTGCAATGGCTCCTAATAATGGAATAAAAAGCAATAGTTAAGATTGTTATTAAGAGCCTTAGGGAAACAAGACAAGCACTGGACTAGAAATCATGGGATCAGGGTTAGAGTACTGGCTTATAACTTACTAGATCTGTGATCCTGGGCAAGTCATCAACCTGTCTGTATCCGAGCTTCCTTCTCTGCCAAGTAAAGGGATTGGGTTGCATGATCTCTACAGTTCCTTCAGGTTCTACACACTTATGTCCCAAGGTCCTTGTCACCTCTAATATTCTACATCCAATTCATTTAGTTGTTAGGCTTATTATACTCATCCCTAACCTCCAAGTAAAATACCATCTGAGACAGGGATGCACACTGCACACTGCACACTGCACACTTTAGAGAGTTTACAATCTTTAGATTATGATGGACAATGTCTTGATTTTTTTTAAATGTACTTAATCAACCAAAACTAATTCATTATTTGTTAATAAATGACAGAAGTGCTGACTAATATACTCACAGAGAACAGATGTTTGGAAATATCTAGGGTACAGGAACAATCTACATCACATCACAGTTACTAAGTAACCCTGGGAAGGAAACAGAGGGTCACCTGGCAAGTTGGGCAGGTTGTATACAGTAGTACCCAGCTGTTTACTGTCCAACAATGTCTAGCCTAAAATCCAATCAATCAAGATTTTCTCCTTTTCCTTGCACACAGGAAGAAACAGATAGTGGTAAGGAAGGAGACAAGTGGTTCTTAAGACTATATTATCAGTTTTGTTTTGGTTTGGTTTTTTTGGCTTCACTAATCACAACTTGACTTCTTCCCCATACTTCTTCAGAGCTTCTCCTAAAATCCTTTATAGAGGTCAGAAGAATTTCTAGGGAAACTAGCCCTACTCTCATCTACTTAGGCATAAGACGATGAAATTATCAACTGCCAAACTGCCTTAATAAGAACCTCTGATCTTGCCTCTCTGGCTATTTCCAACATAGATTGGTGAAAACAACACTAGACTTTGAATCAGAAGACCTGAATTTGAATTCTGGCTTTTCTACTTACTAGCTATGTGACCTTGGGCAGGGCAGGTCACCTATCTATTAAATGAAGTGGTTAGGCATGATCTATAAGATCTGTTCAAAGCTTTAAATTCTAGGAGCTTTCATTCTTGACCCCTCCCAACAACTTCCAATGTCAGAACTTCTAGGGGCCATTAGTCTTCTACATTAGCATGGTGTTACCCATTTCCCAGTGTTCCAAATGGATGAGATTTAGCTCGCACATTTTCTCCCAAGGAAGCATCCATATGAGGCACCTCATAAAGTTACATCAATTACTTCATATATAGTGAGACTAAAGGATGATTGGTAGCCTGTGTGCTTCATTGGCATCCATAAAATTCCAAGAGAATTTGATGAAGGTCTCAGGAACACTAGATGAATCCCCTGTGGTGAACTTATCAAAGGATATACCCAAGAGTCAGGAAAGATTTGAAGGCAGTACCCAGATCAGTAAGATCACAGATCTAATGGAGTACTGGAGTATGGATTACACTCTTAATCATATAAATTCTGGTCAATTGTAAGAGATGGGTCATTTCTACACAAACACACCCATATACATACCTACCTAATCATTTTAATTTTGTTTTGGTATTGCAGAATTATCCAGTACAAACTCAAAATTAAAAACAAAGATTTGTAATTTGTTCGTTATAATTTCAAGAAAAACTCAAGTTTATATTTTATAAGTACCATTTGTCTAGGGGAAAAAAACTAAACATTTCCAGTTTTATCCTCAGAAGCTTGTGGAATAATGAATAAGCTTCCTAGTACTACCATAAATCAGATACTGTAACATACAAGCTTTGACTTTAAAGCTGACATTTAGGCATAAGCATCTAAATTTGTCTCAATCTAAAAATAAGAGTCATCTTAAACTTTATTTAAAAATTTAAAAGCCATTCTTAGCTCATGGGCTACACAAAAACACATGACAGGCTGGATTTGATCAGTAGGCTATGGTTTATGGACTCCTACTCTAGAATACAAGATCCTGTACCCCAGCTATGTCAAAGTACACAGAATGCATCCTCTTCAATAACTACTTTCAATAAAGCTAAGCAAGGGAGCTAGTCAGATTACCAGCATCAGAGGCCCACTGATGCTGGGAAACATCCAACCTAACTGCTTCCACCTTGGAAAAGAAATAAATGAGAATGAAGTTCCATCTGGGTCATCTAAATATATCCACTCTTTCCTTCACACCATACCTTCTTTCCCCTACTATGTACTTGCATCCTTGCTCTCCCTTTCTTGGCATCTCTGCTGTAAAGGTCATTTCTGTTGACAATAATCATGCGGTAGGTGTGAACTTATCTGATATTTTATTAATTTGTTCATTTTCCACCAGATGCCTGAATTATAAAACCCCAAGGGAATTCTGGCACTGACTTCCATCTACTGAGATTATCATTTACAATGATCTGTAACTAAAAAAGGACAAAGAAAAATGCAGTGACATCTGTTGAATATGCAATTTGATACTGATAATACATTGCTTTAAAAAAACTAGATAATAAAAAATAAGCTGAGTTTTCTGATTTATATGTATTCCCCTGCTCTCCAACTCCATCTTTCTTCTAACTTCTTCAAACTGAGAGAACTTTCATCTTTCTGGTCTCCCCTGGTCTTCTGCAACAGCCTGCTCACTTGTCTTCTTTCCTCCAGTCTCACCTCTTTCCAAAATATCCTTGTCATTGCAAATTGATATTCCTAAAACACATATATGACCATAAAGAAGCATGGCATAGAGGACAAAACGTCAGCCCTCAGCAAGGAAAAGCTGGAGTCAAATATTATCTCTGACATATACTGGCTGTATAATTCTAGGGGAGCATTTAATCTCCTAGTGCCGCAGGTAATTTTCTAAAACTCTGAACTGCAGAGAAGACACTAATCTGCATTGGTAGAGGGAGTTTCCTCCCTGGAATCTCCTTATGCCAATCACAGGCCAGATTTTTTAAAAAATTAAATTTTTTAAAAGGCTAGCTCCCAATGGCCTCTAAGAAAAAACTCCTCTCTTTGGCATTTTAAGTCCTTCATAATTAGCCTCTCTTTCCAGGCTTATTTCATATTATTCTACTTCATGAATTCAATAGTCCAACCAAAATGTCCTATTCACTTTTCTCTGTATCCAGCAGTCATATCTCATCTATGTCTTTGTACTAGCAGAATACAGCGAATGGAATGAACTTCATCTTCACCATGTCTCATAGAATCCCTAGTTTCCTTCAACGTTCAGCTCAAGAAAACCTGCTATACCATGCTACTCCATTTCCCTTACCTTAAATCCTTTCCCCCCACCCCACCCCAAGGTACTAGTGCTTTTACTTCAGAAATTATTTTGTATATATTTTGAATTTAATGATCTGTTCTCATGTTATAGTCTAACCAACAAATAAGTCCCTTGATGGTAGCAGTTGTTTTGATTTTTGTCTTCATAGTCCCAGATCCTCGTGTAGGGCATGGAGAAAGCCCATAGTTGGTGCTTAATAAATATTAGTCAGCAAACCTGACAGATAAATATTGTGACACTGGCCACTAGAAGGACATATTTTAATCCTTGCTAATAAAAGGAATAACAGGTACTTACAGAGTATAAAAATCTTCATTCTATAGGTTCTGTGGATTGGTAACTAATGATGTAGGGAAGAAAAATGGTTACAAATAAGAAAGGTGGCAGCACATGGGAATTTGATGGACTTCTCAGTCTCAGAAAAGGATATTGGAAGAGGTCAGGGGCAGGGGTGAAGTTGGGATGTCAGAGTGTAGCAGGAGGTGCTTTTCCTGAGCCTTTTCGACAGAGTAGACAAACCTAGTTCATTAACTAGCTAATGGAGAAGAGGCTATAATTTACCTTCTTGTGTTTTCAAGGTTTGGTTTTTTTTAAACAACACAGGTTAAAAGACTCAATCTAAAACAGGTTCGTACTATGACAGCATCATATCAAATGAATACACTTAGAAAAATTACTCTGACTTCAAAGCAGTGTGGTATGTTCTCTTTTCACAAAGAAAAATAGAGCATTCATTGCTTAGAAGAAAAAAAAAAGCCAGACTGCAATATCTGTTCCTTTATATGCCACCAGGTAAACCTTTAAATGAAAGGTTAATAATAATGAATGAAAGTAGAAATAGTCATAGTTTCTGGGCTGTACACCCTTATTCAAGTCACTTTCAAAAAAGGTGCTTTTGTATACTGCCCATAAAAGTGAACAAGGAACCTCATTTATCCTAACATGATTTAAGCTCAAGAAACTATGACTACTGGTTGCAAATTCAAATGAAGCTACTTGACCCTTCTGAGATTACTTGTTACAGGCCTCATTCAACATAATCCCAAAGATCAGTATACACTACCCACATATCACACTGCAATAAACTCCAATAACATATCCAGAAGACAAGCTTATTAAGAAATCATCACCTGCCTTTTTGTATCAAAAGTAAAGCCTAAAACACAAACCAAACAAAGTGTAAATTGATATCTTTTGTTAGAAAATCAAATGTTACCCAAAGTAGTTAGTACCTTCAAAACACTGAGGTAGAACCAAGAGTCAAAAAGTTCAAACCCAGGTGAAATGAAGACTTCTCATTGCTCAATCAATAAACTTAGCTAGTATAATTTCAGAGGCCCAATTGTAATAAAATTATCTTCTGGTAGCTTCTTCCACTGTAAAGGTTTTTAGGCAGTGTCACCTGAATCTTTGTGGTTTCTCTAACAACTAACCTTTAAATGATTGATAATTAAGTTAAGGAAACAATGTGGATCCAAGCAAAACTACTTTATCCTTCAGAGATTACTCACCCCACTGCAGAGGAGCCAACTGGAGATGCTCCAGGACCAGCTGGTTGAGGATCCCCTCAACACTTGCTTCGCCATGTCGCTTCAAAGATGGGTAAGTCAAAGTTAAGGAAAACAGAGGTTCTTAATGAGAAGTTGTCTACAAACATAAAAAGGCAGACATTTTACATACTATTGAATTTGACCACAGGGAAATAAAATAAAAAAACTGATGATAAAAACATAAAGATGCTCAACTACATAGAAGTTAAAAATAATCTCTAAAATGACAGTGAGTCAGGGAACAAAAAAAAAAACAATGAAAATACAACCACATATTAAAACCACACATTGAAGATACAGCCATAACTTTTTCCAGAGGAAAAATGACACTTTTAAATATGAATAGAGAGAAATAAGAAATATAATCATTAATCTGCACTTGAAGTCTTTGTAAAAGGAACAAAGCAATATGTCTACAAATCATAGAAAGAGTAGGAAAAACAAAGTCAAAATAAGAGCAGCAATAAGGTAAGTAAAAAAACAATTAGACTAATAAATGTAGGGGAAATTTCTTTAAGGTATGGATTGGTCTAGGTGGCTGTTGATGTCCCTTCCAAAACTCAAATTCTGTGATTTTAGAAAATCAATAAAATCAAGTCTCTGATAAATCTTTTCCTCTAAAAGACAAAAACCCCACAAATTACCAGAATTTGAATTAAGAAAGGAGAACAATGAATAACAGGGAAATGAAAAAAATCTGGATCATTCAGAGTAACGTAGGAGTGGCATATGCCACTCCTACGTTACTCTGAATGATCTATGATTTAATTAGCAAGGGTGTACTCTCCACTGATGGACTACACAACTCTCCATATTATAAGGGGGCAGGGTGAAGAAATATTTATTAAGTGTCTACTATGTACCAGGTATTGTCCTAAGCACTTCACAAGAATTATCGCATTTTATCCTCACAACAATCCTGTGAGGTATGTGTTTTACTATTCTTCATTTTATAGCTGTGGAAGTAGCTAAGTGGCCCTGGAGGCAGGAAGACCTCTGTTCAAAGATGGTCTCAGATACTTACTATCTGTATAATCTTGGGCAAATCCCTTAACCTTATTTGCTTAGTTTCCTCATCTGTAAAATGACCTGGAAAAGGAAATGGCAAACCAGTCTAGTTACCAAGAAAATCCCCAAAATGGGTCACAAAGTCAGACACAACTGAAAACAACTAAACCACTACCACAACTGAGGAAACTGAAGCAAGGGACTTGCCTATGGTCACACAGCTAATAACTGTGTGAGGTCAGATTTCAACTTAGGTCCTTCTGATTTCAGTCTCCAGGAATACTTACCTCATTTCACATAAGCACATCAGGGACCCAGATCTTGGTTAAATAAAGTAAACATGCATTAATAAAGTACTTACTATGTGCCAGGTACTGTGATGAGTGCAGAAAATACAGATATAAGCATAAAGACTGTCTTTGCCCTCAAGGACCTTACATTCTAATAGGAGAAGATAACATATGAAAAGGAGCTGAAAAGTAAGAAACTATCCATGAGTGGACATGTTGGAGAAAGTCCAGAGAGTCAAGAATGGAGTCCAGAGAGGAATGAAGGCATGGTTAGCTTGGGAACTTGCCTTAAAATGGAGGTTGTGGAAGACCAATGAATCAGAGAAAGGGGGCACAAGGATGGAATGACTTTCTATGGTGAGAAAGCTGATATGACAAGGTAGAAGGAGTCTAAAGGGTCTGGAGCAGAACCTGGAGAAGAATTGGCTTCCTTTCAGGAGTCTAGAAGTAACCCTAAAAGATTATGGAGTTTTCTATAACTTTATTGGCTTGAGCCCCAATTCAAGCGTGTCTCCTCCTCCACCCCCCAAAAAATGCAATTGTTAGTGCCGGTTAACATCACAAAATTAATACATTTGATTAATTAACAATTCAACCAATTCACATAATTTGGCTTTTATAAAGAGATATTTCCTAAGAAGATACAATGAAAACACATGTATACAAACCAGGAGCAAATTCTTCCCCTACCACCTCTGGCCCTGAGAAGGATGGGCTCAGATTGAAAGCATTCATATCAAGTTCACTTTCCAAATGCGGCATCATTAGTAGTTGGAACTGTTTTCTTGCTGGCAAGACTTAGCATCTTGGTTTGCTGAGTCAGTTCACTGTTGGGCTGGACCCTTATAGTTCATTCTTTGGGGCTATGCTCCTCACCAGGCTGAGTTCCTGGCAAACTTTCATGTTTCTTTCAACCTTTGGATGTCTTAGAAGTCCCTGTGATCAAGGAAAGAAGACACAAACAGTAGGAGCCCCATCCTACATATGGACAGCTCTTCTAAGGGAAGCCTGGGGACAAAGAGCACACCCACCTCCTGCTGGCCCTCCAGAGTTCAATCATCCTTACATCTCAAGGTGTAAATCTCAATACTACCCTTGTGACCTTGGCTAAGTCCTTTGCCCGAAGTGACCCTCAGTTTTCTCAGCTATCAAATGACGAGGCACAGACTAGATGATCTCTAAGGTCCCTTCCAGTTCTTGCCTCTTGTGTTCTATAATCTACAAAATCACTTCCCAGCTTAAAAAAAAAACCACATTAATCATGTAATTTAAAAACAATCTACATGAATATTAATAGTGCTATCAACTGTAGTAAGAGCTCACATTTCTCTAGTGCTTTGAAGTTTACTGCTGTCCTTATGATAACCCTGTGAAGTATGGAGTAGATCCTCATTTTACAGATGAGGAAAATGAAGTTCAGAAAGTGCATGTGACTCCTTCAGGGTCACATAGCCAATAAGAGGCAAAGCTAAGTTTGAAACTCAAGTCAAAAAAAGTGTTCCTTTTAGCATGCTGTGTGGTTTCTAGATATGCTATATCCCCTTTTGCTAAGACTACTCCGTTAACCTCTGATGCCCCTTCATGGCCTCTCCAACAATCAGAAGAAAGCTCTGGTTTTATGGAAACAATGGAATAATTCAAAGTCAGGAAAACAGTCTCTGAAGACAATGGGATCACCATCTCAGACTAAGCTGGTTTAATGCTGCAGCAATAATGTCACTATGAAAGTAGATAGAAGCTTTCTGGGCTCTGTTACCTTCTACAGAAACTTCTATTCCACCCCTTTCCCATTTTACTCCTACAAAAATTGAATCATATGAGGCAGCTAGGTGGCACAGTGCATAGAGCACCGGCTGGATTCAGGAGGACCTCAGTTCAAATCTGGCCTCAGACACATAACACTTACTAGCTGTGTGACCCTGGGCAAGTCACTTAACCTCCTTACCTAACCAAAAAAAAAAAAAGCTGAGTCATAGAGAGGGAAAGGAATTTGCCCCAAATCATACAATTATTTTTTTTGTTCCCATGGGAAGTTGGTGCCCAAATATGACATTCATATTTTAAGAGTGAGTTTTATCGGAAGCATAGAATCTTAGAGCTGAAAGGACCCTTATAGATCACTGAGCCCAAGTCCCTTATTTTAAAGATGAAAAAACTAAGGCCTACAGAAGGCAAATAAATTGCTCAAGACTACACACCAAGTCAGTGAAAAGTGTTGAGACTAGAATTCAGGTCTCTTGACTAATAACTAGACTACTATCTTCCATTTATTTATGGACCTTTAATAAGGAAATCTAGAGTTAAACTTTCTAAGAATTAGAGCCATCCCAAAGTGAAATGAACTACTGTAACACAGGAATTAGTGGAGGTTTCATAGCACCGTAAATTTTCTAGTAGCAACCTGATGACACCAGTTAGGAACACCATAAAAGAAAGTCTTGATAGGGTTGGGTTTGTCCTTGAAAGCCCCTTCTAATTCTGACAATCTGTGATTGTGGTAAAGTGAGAACTACCTGAAAATTCCTCAAGAAGAAGGTGTGGTAAAGTAAGGCAAGACTGTAAGAGCCAGGCCATTTTGTGTATGAAGAAAAGCTGAGTGCTAACTGGTCAGATATTAGGTTTTAAGAAAGGGGAAAATACACAGATGTATTCAGGATCTCTACATTAAGGGTGGTGGGAAGAAAAAAAAAGCCCTGGATTTGGAGTCAAGAAACTTGGGGTCAAGACCTAAATCTGGTGTTTCCTAATGGCATAACTAAGAAAAAAGTCATTTAACCCTTCTAAACATTAGCACTTTATAAACCTGTAAGACAGAAATATGAGCTTATTAATAGCTTCCCTCCCTGACTTTTTTAAACAAAAATTTAAATGCCCAGGTACTTAATCTCATTTACTTCAAGACCCTGCTCTCATAACACCTCCTCCAAGAAATCTCCACTAACCCATCAGATCTCATCAAATCCTATATTCCTCTTATGCGCTCCTCACATTCTATTTTGTATTACCCTTGAGTGTTTCTCATTTTCCTCAAACTCTGTGAGGGCAAGATGGAATCTTATCTTTCTCTTAGCTTTTTCTAACACCAACTTCATGTATTTTAAGGCCTTGAGGACCTCCCTCCTTTATAAAAGATGGCACTAAAATGTCAGATGATCACATTAATTGTACTGACTGTCACCTGACAGTTTTCCATTGCAGAACCCCTTCTTCAATTTCAACTTCAAAATATCTATGGTTTAACTGGTGTAGGTCCTCCTTCCACATAGCTTATGAGTCGTTTTTGCCAAAAATATTACCTGTTGGCTCTTTGTATCCACAGAGTCTAGCACAGTCCTTTATAAGGTGCAGCAATTTAACAAGCATTTGGGAATTCAATTGAATTGAATCTATTAAGTCATGGAGGGGTTGTGATCTTTGTGAAGGGATGAAACTGCCTTGATGAAGAACAACAGAAACATTAATAATACTATAAATTTATAGGTAGCTTATGATTAATGTCAATATTAATAATTAACAATATGACTAATATTAATAAATCATTAGTGGATAACTATATTTTTCTGCACTTCTACTAAGAAGCAGAGGCAAACTGACCACCCACCTAGCTATGCGACCCTTGGCACTTCTTAATTTGAAAGTCTGTTGTGAGAACTAAAAGACAATATTAATGTAAGCTATCAACATTAGTCTTCACGATATTCAAACCTAATATGGGAAGGGAAATGGAGATCCATCTATAGACTTCATCTCTCTT